CTAGGACCTGCTTCTAGCTACTGAGAGCTCCACAGAAGAGCTAGCTTTAAAAAGTTTATTTGCGGTGTTTCGGGTGTATGGTTTAGGGTTTCGGGTTTTGTAGGGTTGTTGGGCTTCAGGACATCGAACACCTAGCCGACTGCGCAGTACCGTTGACTCTACCGGACACTCTACTACGTCGATTGGCTGGTGAAATATGTATCAGCATGGGTATCAGCGAAGAAAGGGCGCCACTGGAAAGAGAGCACAACTGAGACCTCATCTTATGGAAAGATCTGCTAGTCGTTAGCGCACGCCCCATATGTCTGTGCGTTTGGGAGGGTATCCCCAACCCCTAACCCTAAACACTAAACCTGAAAACCTCAATCCTCGAAAACTCTCCCCGGCTAAACCCTAAACCCTATACCTAAACCCTAAACTCTAAACTCTAAACCCTAAACCCTCTAAACCCTAAACCCTAAACCTTAAAACCTAAACCCAAAACTCTAAACTCTAAACCCTAAACTCTAAACCCTAAACCCTGAACCCAATGTCTCCCCCGGAGACAGGTAACCTCATGAGAGAGCTTGAAGTCGGAGATGGACTGGCAGTACCTAGGGCTTCGGCTAGGATTTTGTTTAGGGCTTATAGGGTGAGGGTGAGGGTTTATAGGGGTTTTGTTTAGGGTGTAGGATTTTGTTTAGGGCTTATAGGGTTTTTGGTTGGGGTTTATAGGGGTTTTGTTTAGGGTGTAGGGTTTTGTTTAGGGCTTATACGGTTTAGGGTTAGGGTTTATAGGGTTTGTTTAGTGTGTAGGGTTTGGGTTTGGCGCCTGCTTAGGGTTTACTGGCAGTACCTAGGGTGTAGGCTTCCTTTTCAGGGCTCCTTTGGGCATAAGGCCTAAACCCTAAACCCTAAACCCTAAACCCTTTGGGCATAAGGCTCCCTCAGAGGACCTTAAAGCAACCCCAAGGGTCCATGTGCCCAAATAGTATATACTTTGGCCTTAATGTAGTCCCTATAGCCCGTTTTAGATACTTTGGGGCCTTTGTATATACTTTGTTGGGTACAAGGACCCTTAAAGCAAGGGTTCCTTTAAAGAGGTCTAGAGGGGACGTGAAGGGGTTCCTACACGGGATCTTTTACGGTTTAGGGTTTAGGGTTTAGGGTTGAAGGGATTCTAGGTACGTGAAGCTTCATACCCTCAGGATCCAAGTACTCAAAAACACGGGATTTAGGGCCCAAGACCCATTGATCAGAGCATGGATGGGACCTGAAGCACTACTATTCGAGTATTTGGACCCTCTGGGATAGGGCTTCAAATGGTTTAAGAGTGCTTGCAAGGGTTTGAACGCAGTTTAACAGGATTCACTAAGATTGAGAAGTACTAACCCCACCTAAACCCTAAACCATAAACCCTAAACCCTAAACCCTAAACCCTAAACCCTAAACCCTAACCCGAAACCCTAAATAAAGCGCACCCTAAACCCTAAACCCTAAATAAAGCACAGCCTAAACCCTAGACCGGGGGTGAGGGGCAATTCGGGGGCCTTGGTTAAAGCTTCTCCTGTACACCTTCAACCCAGGCCCCGATCCTAAACCCTGTCCCTAAACCCCCCGAACCCCTAACCCCTCAACCCCTAAACCCCTAAACCCTAAACCGACATTCTACCAGAGCCCCATGTTTGGATTCAACCTCCGGGATCCCTACGCTGTAAGGGCTCTGCAAAGGGATTTATGAGGGTTTAGGGTTTAGGGTTTAGGGTTTAGGGTTTAGGGTTTCTAGGGGGCTTCTATAAGAATGCTATATGGGTAGTTTTCTAAGTTAGGGTCTAGGGCTTCAGGGTTTACCTTAACCCCCTAAGAACCTACCTTCTTGAGGACTTATATATCTGGGTTGTAGTGTCGTGGCCCTTAAAAGTATTTCTGAATAGATACCTCTACAAGAACCCTAAGGGAAATCTTCAAAGATTCCCCAAAAGTGCCACCTAGATAAGGAAATCACAATAAGGAGCCCTGAAAAGGGAAGCGCTTAAGGGGTCCAGGTAGAGCCTAACTATAAGATTTAGGCCCTAAGCCCGTAACCCTAAAACCCTAAACTCTCAACCTAAACCGTTTAGGGCTCAGGGATGAAGGTTTACCCTAAACCGGATTCGAGGCTAAGCTTCTTGCAGTCAGCATTTATGGCTTAGGGTTTATAGGGTTCTGTGTTAGGGTTGTTGTCTGATGTTTTGGGGTTTAGGAAGTTTTGGGTAATGTAGGGGCCTTAATCATTTTAATAGGGTTTCGGGGCCCACTATACCATAACTTTACTAAGGAAGCCCCAAAATAGTATAGGTATTTATTGAAGCCACTCTATTACAAGGTTTTGGGTTTGGGCCTCTGGGCTTAGCCCTAAACCCTAAACCCTAAACCCTAAACCCTAAACCCTAACCCCTAAACCCTGAACCCTAAGGATTCCAGTTCTGGGGTTGCTTTGGAAACCTCAAGGTCTAAGTGCTAAGAGAAGCACTTACTTTCACACCCAGGAACCCAGAAAGGGCGTTTTAGAGTTTTGGGTTGAGGGTTTAGGGTTTAGAGTTTAGGGTTTGGGGTTTAGGGTTTAGAGTTTAGGGTTTGGGGTTTAGGGCAAATGCAGATGCAACAGAGCCACTGAAAGATCTCCCGCGCAGTGAGCACCTCCCGTTCACAAGAACGCGTTTGCCTTTCCTTGAACTACCAAGACCTGGTTGTTGCAGGTTCCCTGTCAAATGCATATTAGGGTGTCATTTTGAGTTCCTACAAAAAAAAAGTTGCGATGCTTAAGGTTTGGATGAACAGCAAGGGCCAGAATCCCACTCCTATCTCAGGACGACCGGAACCGCGCCCCTTTCTGAGCAGCCGGTCTTCTGCAGCTCCTTGGTTCGCAAACCCATGTTAGCTGCCTCTGTACAGGACAGAAACGAGCAAAAGCGATCCCATTTGTAGGGACGCTCCCACAGCGTTCCTGCTGTGGCAAGTTACCGTATGCTGTAGAGGCCCAAGCAGTGCCTCAAACCCTACACCCAACCTTAAACTACCAAAACTTACCTGTTTGTGGGATCCCTTTAAAACCAAGATGAGGGTTCATCATAAGAACCTATAAGAAAGTAGGATTTGGTGGTTTAAGGAAGACCCCCCACACCTTTAACTTAAACCCCAACCCGAAGGCTAAACCCGAAAACCTAAAGCTCCATACCCTAAACCCTTTTATAGACTTATAAGTACTAAACCCCCAATTAAGGTCCCTGTTAGGGTACTTATCAGTCTACTTCTCACCTACTTACTAAGTCTCCCCCGAACCCTAAACCCTAAACCCTAAACCCTAAACCCTAAACCCTAAACCCTAAACCCTAAACCCTAAACCCTAAGCAGGTCGCAGGACATCCGCGTACTTGAAGCTCTCGGAGCCCTTCGTCTGAGCCCAGATGAGTTTCAGCGATCCCAGCTGCTCCATTTTGCCGTAGACCTCCTGTCTGCGCTTGTCCTTCAAGGTTTAGGCGGTTTAGGGTTTAGGGTTTAGGGTCTAGGGTCTAGGGTTTAAGGTTTAGGGGGTTTAGGGGGTT